GGGGTGGGGTGGAGAAGATCAGTGGAGCCCGACAGGACAAACACCAGGAACGTCATGCTACCAAAGTATTAAATTTGTACAAAAATACTTTACAACATCCCTGTTCCTTTAAAGAAAACAACAAAAGAAAACAGTTTGGTTGGTGAAGCTACATGAAAACTAATCTGACCCACTATTTCAAATGGCAGTGCAGTGCACGTGTAAACGTGTGTGTCTGTGTGCACATCGCTAAAATGATACACACACACACGTAAACACACACGCTTACAAACGCACACCTTAACACACACGCACACTTACTACATACGCACAAGCACAGTGTGTATGGCTTTAGATCTCACTCATTAAACCCTCCTGAAGCCACGCCCCTCAGCTCTGCGTGTGTTCCTATTGGTTGAGCAGTTTGTGTCGACATAATAACCAATCAGCTGTGGCCGCCGACGTACACACAGGAAATAAAGTCGTGTTAAATACTCACTTTCACTTCAGACCTGTTACATCAGCAGAATCACTCCTAACAGGTGTTTATTTTTTGGTAATTTATTTTCTCTTTGTTGATTTGTGACACTAATAAAATTTATTGCAACAACAAATATAGTAAAATATGAAAAAAAAAACATATTGGGTGTTTTGAGAACGCTGACAAAACACAGAAACAACCATGAATCAGACCTAAGACACAGATCCTGTCATGACCTTTTTAGCTAGCCGAATGCTAATTTACAGCCGTGTTAGCCAAAGTTTACTAAAAAAAAAAAAAAAATTCCTGCACGTAGCAGATGTTAGCCCTGTTGTAGCCTTGTGCGAGGTCTGTGCTGGCCCTGAATAAGCCGTGTGCTAAYCACATATTAGCCGTGTCGTAAGCTAGTCAAACACATTTTAAAAGGTGGTGGAGGTTCTGATTAGCCTGTTTGTATCGTGTTATGGCTCTGTGCTCGACGTCTGATAGCCACTCGCTAACCGTATGCTAGCAATGTGCTTAAACTCCAAATCACAGTCATTAAATATTCAGAAAGAGAAGCCAGCAGACAGATCCACCCAGGGAGGGTTCCTATTGGTTGTTGGTGCTGAGGGAGGGTTCTGATTGGCCAGTTTAAATAGTGAGTTCAGACTGAGAAGAGCAGGAAGATGTTGACATCTAAATAAACACTGATTCGTTCGCGCTCAAACACACACACACACAATGTGTTTCCTGTTTTTACAGGAGCTTTTTTTTTGTGTAACTTGATTTTATGAACATGAGGAGAAAGTTTCTGGGGTTTGACGGTTTTGATGTAAACAGCAACGAGAGCCTTTTTTTAATCTAATATACAACTTTTAGGTTCAGTCGCTGAAACAAACAAACAGAACTGACAACAGTCAATCAAAATCACACCTATTAAGTAGCATAATAGATCACTGTTAGTGGGGCTGGGGGGGCGGGGCAGTGGGGGCATGCTTGGCCTCTTCTAGGAGCTGATTGGCTCTTCCTCAACACTAACCAATCACAGACAGGCAGGGGGGGAAACTGTTTTCTGATTGGTTCCAGCCAATCAGCTGAACTGCAGTCGTACTCGACGTTGATGGGTCAACGTTAGGAT